TCGCCCAGATACAACTTTTGAGGCCATTGGTTCGGCAATAGATTAGGATCTGCTATTTTTTCCTGTTGATCTCCCTGTTTGTATACAATACATTTATTTCGGAATATGTATGAGGAAAATCCCGTGGCTTTGTTTCCCTTATTCCTTTTCTGTTCTGAATTCAGCAAGGATTGGCGAAAAAATCTTAGACCCGCAATATAGCCCTGTGGCCTATTTAGGCTGGCTTGGGAATTATCGTGTGGCTGGTTGATGCAACCTCCGATGTGAACCGCCGTGAGGGGTCTTGCGCTTTTGCCTAGCCATTTGCGTTGGGTTTCCGGGCCGGGTTTGTCCTGAGCCTTATTGATTTCTGCTCTCCTGTGTCTGCGAGGTTGGGTGATGACGGTTATTTTCCCTTTCCCTTGGGCATTTTATTTGGCCTGTTTTGGGTTCTCTCTCCGAGTCGCGTTACGACTCGAGCTTTAGTTAACCCTCAAGTTTTTCTGTGCTTGTATGGGCGGATGTTGATGGTTTTTATTTCTTGCCCATGGGCGTTTGTTGTTTCAACTGTCTTGGGTCCGGTCTTCGAGTCGCGTTGCGACTCGAGCATTAATTGACCCTCATGTTTTTCCGATCTTCAAACCGGCGATAGTGGCTCTTATGTTGTTTGGTCGTTGAGACCTTTTGATATGCGGCCCTAAGGCTTGTATAGTTAACAATTTTGGATTCGATCTCCGAATCAGGTTACGACTCGAGCTCATTTTAATCCTCAAGTTGTCAATTTTCAAGCTAGCGACAATGGCTCTTATGCTTTTACCCGTGGGCTTTTTATAGGCTTTGTGTTCCGCTCGTTAAGGTTTTTTGAAATAATTTTGCCTAACGCGTCGTCGGTTCCGGAAGAACCTCGATTTTAAGTCGTTATCAGCGATGTTTGAGCACCTCGAGAGGTTTTTAGCTCGTAGGTCGAGTAGATCGACGCCTTGTGATTTGGAGCTGACATGGTCGAAGCTCATTATGAAGTATATTCGAAGTAATTGCCTGCAATTTTGTTTAGCGACGGTCAGGCGTCCCCGAATCGCGTTAATTTGGCTGTATCAGCCGTTTTGACCGAAGTCATATGTGTTTGTCCGGAGCCGTTTTTGATCCCGAGTAATAGTTTAGGTGTCTACACTGAGGGTATGCCCTTTCGAGATTTTACAAATGCGACGTATAGCCTAAACTTTGGGATTTTCATGCCTGTTGAGGTCTTACGGTTTGTCATGCCTATTGAGGTCCTATAGCTTGTCATGCCTGTTGAGGTCTTACAATTTGTCATGTCGGTTGAGGTCTTACAGTTTTATCATGCCTGTTGAGGTCTTACAGTTTGTGTTGCTTTGTAGAATAGATCTGGTTACACCGAGTATGCCCACTAAGGGTCTTACAGTTTTGGGTTTTCTAGTGCATGGCGATTGACGACAGTCTCCAAGTCATCGAGTTTGCTTAGGCCTGAAGGCCATTATTCGTGAGCCTGGAGTTACCTTGTTTGAGTTTTATGAGCCCAAAGTTCCGATCCCGGGGTTGTGCGGGTGCCGAATTATTGATGCAAAGTCTCCCAGTTTTTCGGGATGCATTTGGTGGAAAGGCCTTCGCCGTGAGTAAGTCGAAATATGCTTTTCCGGAGTACGAGATGCCGGAAGATATTCTTTATTGCTTGGCATAAATACATGTTGTAAATACATGTTGTTTTGTTTTTTGGAAGCTCAGCCCGTGCGGTCGCGGCTCCTCATACCATTCGATCCAGTACGTTCTTTCCTATCGGAACCTCGTTCGTCATTTTCTCCGGGCAAGGCTGGTTGTAAAGGAAGTCCGGTAGGCTCTTCGAATCCTTCTTGGGATGTGAGTGGATGTCGCCTCATTAAAAACCTGGCCGGCAAAAACCCGTTTCGGGATAAAAAACCCGGTCGAAGGAAAAGAGTGCGATGTTGGCTTGAGGATATTTGTGGGGTTTCACAACCGGATGCCCTAGCAGTAATACCGCTTAAGCATCGATACATTCTAGTTACTCGTAAGTTGCTCGCCCTCCATGGTACCAATCTTATAGGATCCTTTGCCAACTATCCCAAGGATACGGTACGACCCTTTCCAATTTTTACCCAACTTCCCTTCATTAGGGTTTTTGGTGTTGAGAGTAACCTTCCTTAGGACCAAGTCTCCGATTCCGAAGTATCGGAGATTCGTTCTTCTGTTGTAGTATCTTATGATTTTTTGCTTCTAGGCATCCATCCGAACCATCGAGGCTTCCCGTCTTTCATCGAGAAGCTTGAGGGTCGTTGCCATGGCTTCGTTGTTTTATCCCTCATTAGTGTGCCAAAATCTTGTGCTTGGTTCCTCGACTTCCAGTGGTATCAGTACTTCGGCGCCATATACTAGAGAGAATTGTGTCTCCCCGGTGCTCGATTTTGGAGTTGTCCGATATGCCCACAGTACATTGGGTAGCGTTTCTCTCCATTTTCCCTTGGTGCTTTCCAACTTCTTTTTCAAGTTTTGAATGATGGTTTTATTCATAGATTCGGATTGGCCGTTTGCCCACGGGTGGTATGGCATCGACAGGATTCTCTTGATTTTGTTGTCTTCAAGGAACTGTGTTACCTTGCTCCCGATGAATTGCCTCCCGTTATCGCATGTTATTTCGGACGGGATCCCGAACCGGCATATGATGTGTTCCTATATAAAATTGATGACCTCCTTCTCTCTTATTTTCTCGAAGGCCAGCGCTTCCACCGATTTTGAGAAGTAATCAGTCATAAATGGCCATGGTGATAGAACAAAATGCAGTTGTTCGCCGGGCTGGTGGATCATAGGAGTGAACCTCTGACACTTGTCACATTTTCGGACGAATTCTCTGGCATATTTTTCCATGCTATCCCAATAGTAGCCTGCTCTAATCACCTTTCAGACTAAGGAATAGGCCCCGATCCATGTTGCCCGGTCCAAGCATATCGCCAGGGGGCCATCGAAAGTTCTCCTGTAGAGAGCCCTATTTTCGTCGAGGGAGAACCAGGCCGCTTTGGTTCGCAAGGCCCTCGATTCTTTTAGATCTATGGGTAGCTTCCCGTCCTTCAGATAAACAATGTATTTGTTTCTCCAATCCCATGTCAGGCTGGTGGAGTTAATTTTCACGTGACCTTCCTCGACCACGGATTTGAACAGTTGGACGATGATTCTGGGGAGAAGGTGTTCTTCTTCAGCGGAAGACCCCATGTTTGCGAGGGAATCGGCCTCGCTATTCTGCTCCCAGGGCACATGGACCAAGGTCCATTCTTTGAAGCGATGTAATGCGATTTAGATTTTGTCCAAATACCTTTGCATCCTGTCTTCTCGAGCTTCGTAGCTTTCGTTTACTTGGCTTACCACGAGGAGCGAATCACATTTTTCCTCGACAGTCTCGGCTCCTAGACTTTTGCCCAACTCCAAACCTGCATTCATAGCCTCGTACTCGATTTTATTATTAGTTAGCTTTGCGGTTTTTATGGATTGCCTAATTATGCCGCCGATGGGCGGCTTTAGGACTATACCGAGTCCGGATCCTCTTACATTTGTGGCACCATCTATGAACAAGGTCCATACCCCGGAAGACGTCCCTGATTTTACCAGAAGCTCCTTCTCTACCTCGGGCACGAGGGATGGCGAGAAGTTGGCTACGAAATCCGCCAGGATTCGGGACTTGATGGTCATCCGAGGTTGATACTCGATATCATACCCCCAAGTTCAATGGCCCATTTGGCCAATCGACCCAATAAATCAAGTTTGTGCAGTACTCTCCGGAGGGGATAAGTCGATAGGATGCAAATACGGTCGCACTAAAAGTAAGGCTTCAACTTGCGCGAGGCGCTGATCAGTGCGAGAGCCAATTTTTCTAGATGGAGGTACTGGGTTTCGGCGTCATCCAAGGTTCAACTTACATAATAAATAGGAAATTGCATACCTTGATCTTCTCGGACCAGTACGCCGCTTACCGCTATTTCGGACACGGCCAGGTATAGGTATAATGTCTAGATAGGAACCGTTTCAATTCTTCTAGGGCGTGTTGGCATTCTGGAGTCCATTCGAAGTTGTTCTTTCTTTTGAGTAGGGCAAATAAATGGTGGCTTTTGTTTGATGATCTCGATATGAATATGCCCAGGGTCGCGATCCGCAACCGTTATTTCTTCTATGGCCTTTATTTTGTCGGGATTTATTTCGCTTCCCCCTATTTGAAACCATGCACCCCAGGAATTTTCCCGAGCCTACTTCGAAGGCACACTTCTCAGGGTTGAGCTTCATGTTGTAGCTTCCGAGGATGTCGAAAGATTCCTGCAAATGGGTCAGATGGTCCTCTGCGCGCATGGATTTGACTAGCACATCATCAATGTATACCTCCATTGATTTACCTACTTAGTTCTCGAAGATTTTATTAACTAGGAGTTGGTATGTTGTTCCAGCATTTTTTAGCCCGAAGGGCATTACGTTATAGCAATATGTACCATACTTCGTAATGAATGAGGTCTTTTCCCTGTCCTCGGGGTTCATTTAGATTTGATTGTACCCCGAGTAGGCATTGAGGAAAGTGAGGGTCTAGTGACCAGCCGTAGAATCGATCAGGGGATCGATGTTAGGCAACAAGAAGGAATCTTTTGGGCATGCTTTGTTCAAATCTTTATAGTCTACGCACATCCTTAGCTTGTTCCCCTTTTTTGGCACTACCACTACGTTAACTAGCCATTCGGGATACTTTACCTCCCTAATAGATCAAATTTTAAGAAGTTTTGCTACTTCTCTTTGATGAAGGCATGTTTTACCTTGGAATACGGCCTTCTCTTTTCCTTCACGGGTTTGAATTTGGGGTCAACACTTATTTGTGGGAGGTTATTTCCGATAGGATACCAGTCATATCTAAGTGGGACCAGGCAAAATAGTCAATATTGTTAGTAAGGAATTGAATAAACCCTGTCCTGAGTTCGGGGGTCAACCCCANAGAAGTCTTACTCATCGTCTTCAAGGGTCTACACGCTTCCTTCCTCGTCCGAGGCCGGGCATGTGGAGGTTGGCATCTCGTCGTGTACCACGAAAATTTCCTTCGCCGCCTGCTTTTCTCCATGTATGGTTGTGACGCCATCCCTTGTGGGAAACCTTATCACCTGGTGCAAGGTCGAGGGCACTGCCCTTATGTTGTGTATCCAAGGTCTGCCAAGTAAGGCGTTGTATCTCATGTCACCGTCGATGACCTGAAACTCGGTGTTCTGGGTTGTGCCAGACGTGTTGATCGGGAGGGTGATCTCTCTCTTCGTTTCTTCTCTGATCATGTTGAAGCCATGGAGGACTCGAGGAGTGGGAATAACTTGGTCGAGTAGTCCCAGCTGTTCTACTACTTCTGACCCGATTATGTTGACCGAGCTGCCTGGATCCATGAGCACGTGCTTTATCCTGGTATTGTTTGAGAGAAACGATATTACTAGCGCGTCGTTGTGCGGTTCCATCATATCCTCGAGATCCTCTTTGCTGAATATGAGGGTATCTTTGTGTAAGCGTTCTCGGGACAGTCCCTCTTTTGTAGTAGACGTTCTTGTTCGTTTGGACACGGGTCCTCGGGAAACGTTGGTTCCCCCAAAAATCATGTGGACACCGGTCTCTAGGTCGGTCATGCCTCTGTCGCCTTTGAGGTTTAGGCTTCCCATTTCACTAGTCGAGTTAAGTGTTCCGTCTTGAAAGCGCAAATCTTGGGCAAGAAAAAGTGTGAAAGATAACTTGCATTTTTGCAATGAAACCAGCAAGAAAATAATCACTATTATTTTTAGCTCCACGGTAGGCGCCAAATTGTTAACCGTGAAAATGGTAATAACAATTAAATTTCTAAATGGGATTCTAAAAATACATGATCTATTCTCAAGCTAGTTGTTTAGAGCAGTTGATGCTAGGAATATGAAGTTTAATGATGAAATGCAAGCTAAAACAAGGCAGTAATCAAATCGAGGGGCATGCTGCCTGGATATAGGACTAATCGATGGGGGACCTTGGAGTCGATGCCAGGGTCGAGCTCGAGCTATCGGGGGCATTTAAGAATGGAATAAGAGTTAAGATATGATTATATAAGGCTTGTTATACCCAATGCCAAGCAAAAAAATAAAGAACAAGTAAGATAGCGATAAATATTAAAGTGGCCTCGGGCTAGAGAGAACGAGCAAGTTAGAAAGAAGAGAGAGAGAGAGAGAGACTATTGCACTTGTGGAGAAATGGAGCAACATCAGCTGAGCCTACAAAGTGATGGAGATCCCCTTTATATAGGAGGGGAATCCGTTATAATACAAAACGTTTTAACCGTAAAGGTGTGGAGATAGGATGGCTAGACGTGACATCTTAAAAATAGGCCCAGGATAGACCAACCTTGTCAGGTTAAGCCGCGTGCCTTGGGAACTCCCCCCTCGCCTGCTGTAGCCCGCTATATTTGTCGGAATGCTATATCCTTTGGACCGATATATGTCGAACCACGAGGATGAGTCTCGACCTTGGCTTCGAGCTTTGAGGGACATGACCACGAGCCGGTCCTTACGACGGGGAAATTGGTCCCCCAGATTCCCCGTGTACAGTCTTCCCACACAAAGTTAAACCTTAATATATCCACTAATTAAATAATTATAACTCATTTCTTGTAGTGTATAAAATACACATAAAATCTCTACTTTTCCCGCAACATCGCCTTAAACATACCTACATATAAAATAACTCAATTAAGCCCAAATATAGTATAGTTTAGCATTAAAGCCCCAAAATATAAGGTAAGTAATGCATTAAAAATATGTAATTATAGCCAAACATCAGGACATGATGCACCTCCAACTGTTTGGGAGAATTTTTCAGATACCTTCCATGACCAGTAATTACCGCGGGAGATGTGACAGGCTTGACCACAATGGCCAATGTCTATAAATAACAACACTTGGCCTCACATGACCGTCAATCATAAATACTGAATGTTAAAATATAAGAGCTTACCTGATGACCTACTAGTTTGAATCGGGTTGTGCTGAAGTATCCCATCTTGAGCTATATCTCCAGTTTAAAATTGATGGAGGTATTTAGACTTCATTTGTTCCTCTGCTTCCCATGCCATCTCTTCCATGTTCTTTCTTCTCCATAAAACCTTTACGCCGACTACCTCCTTATTTCGTAGCTTGCAGATTTGTTGATCATAGATGGCAACTGGAACTTCCTTGTACGATAAATCCTCCTTAATCTGTACATCATTAGTGGGCAGCACTCGTGTAGGATCCCCAATGCACTTCCGTAAATACATCCATATGAAAACCATATAAATAAAGGTGATATATCTTATGTGCATGGACAACTGCAGCTAACTCGAGGTCATGGGTCGGATAATTCCGCTCGTGCTTCCTAAACTTCCTTGAAGTGTACGCAATTATCTTTTCATGTTTCATCAGGTCACGTCCTTAGCACAAACCTGAGGCATCACTGTTGATACCCAATTTTTCCCTCATATATTTTTAAATATACATATATACCTTTAAAATAGTGCATGAGCATCATCAAGTATTTTTCCATAATTTTTAAGGGGGTTTAATAAATTTATTCTTGCATAAATAATTATTAATTGCATCACAAATAATTTTATAATGATTTATTATTTAATTTTTTATCATTTATATTCATATTAAGCTTTGAATATTTTTATATAAACTTATTATAATTGTATTTTGCACCCTTAGGCTAAAATTGCATATTTTGCAATAATAACACATATATATGCATAATTACATTATTTATACGGAAAATAACTTTCTATATTTTTTATAATATTAAGTAATTATTTTAAATCATTTTCATGGACAAACTGATATTTTTACTATTTATTAATTATTTTTATAAATTATTTACTGATTTAATTGGGTATTTAAAATCTAGCTCTTTTTTTAATAAAGTTTGGACCTATACACTACACATTACCCCAGCCCAATACCCTAATACCCAGTGCCCAAATACCCATCAACCCAGACCCATACCCATTTTAAAACCCGAACCAATTCCCTTTTTAAATCACAGTTGTTGATCTCGGAAGATTAACGACTCAAAGTATCCCAACCCTTTTTAATTATATCCTACCCGGTCCAACCCTAACCCCATTTCACCCACTCCGCCGCCCTCAAACTCTCTCATCTCCCCCACCCCTTTCTCTTTTGAAACCCTAACGACTCTTTCCCATCTACCCTCTGATTCTAACCCCAGAAATGGAACCAACCTGTGATTCCTTACCTTATTTGGTCCTATTTCCTTACTGGCTACCCGTTCTTTTGTGTTACATAATAGCTTTCCTAAAATGGCAAGCAATCTGGAGAGATCCAAATCAAATCTAGTTCAAAATCTCTAACATGTTTATTATTTCCATCTATGTTCACTCTAACATATGTAAGTACGAATATTTTCATATATATTATGGATTCTTATATAACCCTAAGGTTAGGGTTTTCAGATCTTTCCAATTCGAACCCAAAACTGGTTTTAACCTTTTTTTTATGTTATTCCATATATATCTTCTTATTTTTTTGTTAAATCTTTTAGTTACCCCAATCTAGGGTTTCAAATATTCTTTAATCGAAACAGATCTAGTTTGTTTCAATGAATAACCTCTATCTATGTTTATTTTACTGAAATACATGATTTTTTACCTTTGTTTTTATCGATTTTATGGCTTACCTAAAATTAGGGTTTCAAACCTTTTTATTTTGGGGCCATATCTGTTTCGATTGTGTATTCTGTAAACATGTTTATGTCCATGTTAATCCTATGAAGCATGGGACTCTTGCCTTTTATCTCTGTTGATTTTATGGTTTTACTCGAAAATTAGGGTTGAAACCTTTTACTGACTTACGTTTACTCTTTCCTTTCTCATATAGTACTGATATTTTCCTTATTTTGTTCACCCGACCTTGTTCCTTTACTTTTTTACTTTATGTGTTGATTGATAATTGATTCTATATCATACTTACCTTAATCTAAGTAGTACTTGCCTAATTACTCATTAATTGACTGAACTAACTCTAACTTCAATTCATTTTGGATTTATTTTCTTTCCTTATTTGTGTATGTTTGATTTATTCCCTTATTTGTCTGCCTAATTGAACACCATTTAAACCCTTTCCCCTCTTCCCTTTAGGACAGACTCAAACACTCATACTCTCACTAAAACTTAGTTCTTTTACTCAGATTCTGTGCTCATTGTTTCTGGTCTTGGTTGGTTGTAAGCCAAGGCCAAGTGATTTTGGAACTTAACTGTTGTAGCATATCTACTTGCTTTCTTGCTTAACTGGTAAGCCCTAATCCCTTATCGTTTCATTCTCCATGTTTTTCATAATCAGTGTTACTTGAACATCAGGTCTTGAACCTTACTTTTAGCATGATTCTACTTTTTATGTTCCTATGATTCTCTGTTAATCTTATGGTAATATTGCTAGTTTAAGATTAGCTATTTTGAATAATATAAATCCTCTTATAATTTAGCTTAATTTTCAAATTTGTCCGGGCACACTATTTATTAATCCTACACTTGTTTTGAACCTTACATTCTTAAGGTACTACAAGCATGTATTTAGTTAATTTGTCATAATTTGTTGCTTAACTCATGTGCCCTGTCTATTAATATGTCATGAGATGATCTGAGTGCTTTGCCTAACTTATTTATGTGATTAAACAATAGTTGTCTTAAATGTCAGCATTCTCCCTTAGTGTAATTAAGTTAGTCTTCTAAATTAACCTGTTTGAAACTATGTACTTAGCAAACTTTGCTGTTTTGTGAATGCAATTCTATGTTCTAAACCTTGTTTCTTCTGAAATCAAACTGTTTTGAAATCTGGCCCTATTCCCTTTTATATGATGATTTTTAAAACCTCACTCTTAGTCATTTAGGTTCTCAACCACCGCAATGTAAGTACTGCTTAGGGTCCACATGAGACTCCTGTGAATTCTAACATACTAGGAACTGGTTACCCATCTCTTATGAATCATCTGCTGAATATATGGTTCTGGTGTGAGCATTGCCATGGGTCTCTAAGGCCCTTGGGAACTTTGATGCATTGGAAACGTGGTTCTATATGTGCTATGAGTGAATCACTCATATTTTGGCTATGTTGTACTTATAAAATGAGCCTCAATGTTGATTGGTGTGAAGTCCAGGTTCCCAGGTTCAGTTGGGCTTAATGAAGGCTCCCTATAGTTTGTCTTACCACTATTATGTAATTTATTCATTTATTCTGGCCAGTAATAACTTTGTAACAATCAAATTCTGGGGTATATAGTAAAATTGGAAAGAGTCTTTATTCTCTTTTGGCAATCAGGGTAAAAATTCTGACAATAGGGTTTCATTTGCTCTATTAATCCTGTTTTACCTCATCTCTGTTGAAATCGTGTGGGTGATGTACTATGCTTGCATATTAGAAATCCTGCCTATAAGAAATTAAATTACATTAGAAATCATGCCTATAGGTTGTATTAACTTGTCCAACAAACATATGTTAGCAATCATGTCTGTAGGACCTCAATGTTGATCTAACTATTTGTCCTTTCAGGCAACGTGCACAATTTCTGCCCTTGTGCTACTTAATAGATATCATGCCTATAGGATTTAAATCAATTCAATAACAGATATCATGCCTATAGGATTAAAATC